GTGTGTGTGTGTGTGTGTGTGTGAGCTGCTGTGCAGCGTTTTGTTGTGACTTCCACTGATTCTGATTCTCTTTGTGTCCATCATGTTGTGAACTGAACCCAGCGCTGGCAGCAGTGTGTCGGGTCAGAACGCTGAGAACACAACCAGAGGCCATCCACAGTCCTGCTGCTCTGGAACTCTGGGCTTGTTCTGGATGGTTCTGCCTCTTCCCAGCGTATCTCTGCATAGATCTTTAAAGTCAAGCCAACTGTGTGAAAACAGCTTTAAACAGAGCTGCTATTGTCTCCCCGACTCACTGCAGAGACCTGAACACACAGGGCTGTGGAAAGACTGCAGACAGACTGACTGATGGACGGCGTTCGGATCAGGACTTTCTGGAACCGTGTGTTGCAGGACTCCTGCCTGTATGTTGGGGGTCAGTCGGTGGTGTCTGATTGGTCGGCTTGGTGTCGTTCTGGCAGCATCATGATTGATGTGCCGTGCTTGTAACTCACCAGCCCAGTTAGTCGCTGTCGTTGAGCTCTGCGACTCAGGGAAGGTGCAGCACACGGTGGAAGAAGTTTATGGTCACGACTTTGTGGCAGAAGGCGATGCTAAGTCAGGTGACGTAGTAGAAGTGACAAACCCATGCAGGGAGGAGGTGACGGTGGATGAACGGGTCAGGAGTTCTGACCAACAGACTGGGATTCATGTCTAGTATGGAAACTAAAGTGACCTTTGAGGCTGGGTTCACTGATTATTTTCGTGCTTTGTATCGTGCTCATTCTTTGGTCCAGCTTCTGAACCACTTGGTTACGCTTCAGGAAAGATCAGGTTTGTGTTCAAACACTTTCTGAAGCCCAAAAGTCAATCGTATAATTTTTGCTGTTTTAATCCCGACAGGATTGTTGGCTGTGATGTTGGAGCTTCTGATGAAACTAAACATCTCTACACACTGAACATCTAAACCCTCAAACATCTGCACAAAGTCGTTCTTGACTTCTGAACTGGTGGTTGAACAAGATCATGTGAAGGGACCCTGAGGATTGTTTCTGGTAGCTCAGTGGACCCACGTTTGGCTTCACGCTGGTCCACTGACCGACGGTTCAATAAGGACACATCACATGAAAGGAGAGAATAAATGTTTATTGCTGAAACCTGCCGATGCTGCAGCAGCTGGTTCTGGGAGTCAGACTTGTGGCGTCCCAGATGAAGATTGGAGAACTGATTTGAGAATGATTTATAGAACCGGATGTACAGAGACTGAGAGTTAAGGGATCTTCAGAGCATGGATGAGATGGAGAGAGTAACTGAAGGAGGTCTTTCTGCCTCATTTTATGCACAGGTTTCATTTTAGCAGATATGGATGTTTGTTGGACCATAAGGATGAGATCACTGAGCAAACTCAGCTGGAATGTCGCCCTGAAACGCAGTTTGGTCAAAGCCAATACCAGCTGCATGTTTACTGTTGTGTTTGTGTGTTTTTCCAGATCTGGGATATGAGCGACGACGAGAGCATCTGAAGGACGGCAGCAGCACATCCAGAGCCCAGAAGGACTCGGCACTCCGATCCACGCTTCTCTTTTGGTTTCTTTGCTTTTGTTTTTTTTAATGAATGAACCTTAACCCTGTTCACATAATCAGAATTAAACACGTTACAGAAACTCTTGAGAAAAGCAGAGCAGTAGACTTCCTACCAGACCTTCCAGGGCTGAGCAGTAAGACGGTAAACGTACAGATTGCTTTTTACTGCTGAAATATTCAGTGAATGTTTCTCGATGTTACAGGAGGACAGTAACAAGTCGTTTTTTCTTTTATATTGTGTGTATGAGACCTGTTTTATTGCCTGATGATGTGTAGCTAATCACACTTTCATTCCTCGAGCAAAAACAAACCAAACTGTCTTATGTTTGTCTTTCTGGGGTCCAGACGCCTCACTCAGTGGTCACAGGTTTAATCCCTCGCACAGTCTCTCCATCATCACTTTTAATGGGTTTACGGAAGAGTCCTTTGGCAAGACGTTGACGACATCTGCTCACCTATTCAGTTTGGAAAAGAGCTTTAGTTAAGTTACGAAATTACAAAAACACAGTTGACAGCTTCACAAGTCCATCCATCTTGTTGTGTGTTTACTGGAGACTGTGGTGCATACAGTAGAGCTGATACTAAAACCAGCTTGTTGCTTCAGAGACCTGCACAGATGTTACTGTACGGTTTCTGAAATAACTCCCAGGTCCTGAAGACGACCTGGAACCGACCCACAAGAGCCAAACAAGAACCTCCAGGTCTTGGTTGGTGTCGATGCAATGTATGATCGCTGTCACTTGGATGTTTATGGAGAGAATTCACTCCACAATTTGAGACAAACGCTAAAAACTAAAGACAAACACGATGTTGAACATTATAAATCAGATGCTACTGTCAGAATGATCCTATTGAGTTAATTCTCTTGTCTAAGTATGAAACCAGAAACTGGAATAAAATTCTCTTTTTGCTGTTTATATGTGGGAGCGTTTCATCAACAGGTGAATAAAGGACGCTGACGTTCTGTTAAGACTCCGTGACGGTTTCCCTCAAGTAGAACACTTTTTAAAACTAAATGTCTGCGGGGAAACATCCATATACGATGATAACACACTGATGTTTGTTTGCGCCGTCAGTCCCGTACAGAACCAGAAACACACCAAAGCAGGCAGACAGTGGTTTAAAAGCACTTTATTGTTCATCAAGGCTACTTTACGTACAAAAAAGGTGGCCTGCCAAAACCTTTTTAGTAGGAGGAGACACAGAGCCACAAACTGACTGTTTTCTTGATAGAAACGTTCTTACAGTTCAGAGTATTACTACCACTAAGTACATGCTACTTCCACTTCAAAAAGACCTGGAAAATGTGGTACAGTCAGAGTAAAGACCAACTCCTCTTTGATTTATCTGCTCAATTTTCACGTTAACTTGATTACAAATGAAAAAAAAAAACGTCCACAGACGGGAACTGTGACAAACTCATCTTCATGTTTTCCAACAACAAACGGACTCTTTTACAGCTCAGTTCCCATCTGTAGGCCAAAAACACTTTCAAAACCCACAATCTGTATTTCTTATATGCAGTGTTTGTACCTGCCTACTAGCCCACGACTCGTGTTTTTATTGAATTGCTTTACATTTATTTGTCAGTGGCACACTGGGCTAGTGGCCAACCATCACGTTCCATCAATGCAAAATGTGCACGTTGCTCAATAGGCCTCTGAAAAACAACAAGCTCTTCTTGCTCATCAGTAAAACTTTTGTTCAGATGTCTCAGAGGTCACATGATCGGACACAAGTTAAGTGATTACAGAACAAAGGGACCGATGGAAGTAGCGATTGTCTCCGACACACCTGTGGCTTGTTGTGGTTTCATACGTTTCCTGTGTTCCTGCACTTGAACCTTTATTCTAACGAGACAAACGCTATAAACAAAAAAGATCAACTTTTTTCACAAAAAAGAAAAATGCAATGATTACAATATAAGGACAGGAAAAAACAATTAAATAGCTACATATCATTAACAAATTAATTGTTCCTCAAAAAATACCTACGATTTTTTTCTCTGTACATTCGTTACGCACAGCGTAATGATGGTCTTATAGTTAGCTATTATAAAAAAGTATTTCTTATTAAGTGATTTTCCTACAGTGTGTAGGGAGTGTGTGCCGAAGCATAAAGAGAGCCTCCTACCTACAGGGTGGTAGTGAAATGATAATGAGAAAGCATAATAATAGGAACACTAAATCCTCTGGACAGCTCGTGTTTTGTAGCGTCCGATCTTAACCAGGGTCCACTGAATCAGAGAGGAGGGGAACGACGTCTCCCGGCTCAAAGGTAGCGCTTACAAAAGCTCAGCTCCTGAAGCTCAGCCGCCCCCAACAAGCCTGCTGCTAGAACTGCCCCTCCGGACCACCGGGTTAGGGTCAG